ACCTGAAATCCAGTCCTATGCATTTTGGGCTCGGACCGGGTCGGACTAGACCGGGTCGGCCCGCAGAGCTTCCTTTGTAAATGTTATTTTTTTCTTTTTTTTTAAAAAAAAAATTTCGGGCTTTCGGGCCGGTTCGACTCGAACCCGAAGCACGGACCGGCCCGCGGACCTTCCTTTGTAAATGTTTTTTTTTCTTTTTTTAAAAAAAATTTTCGGGCTTTCGGGCCTGCCCGACTCGAACCCGAAGCCCGAATTGAATCCGACCCAAAAATTCGATTTTTTTCGGACCAAAAAACTTCGGCCCGAACCCTGCTATTTTCCGGATTGGGCCGGGCCGAGCTTCGGACCTCGAGCCCAAATTGACACACCTAACTTTTCCTTTTCTCCTCTCCATTACGTTTTTGACAAAGGTGTGTATTCATCTCACATATTTTCTTTTCAAGAGTTTATTTTATATGTCGTGATATTATAAAATTCCTACACATTTATGTGTATGAACGCCAATCCCCTTTATGAAAAGAAGAAGAAGATAAGGCATAAAAACTACTTGTAAAGTTTTGGTTATCGTTATATGATATAAATATCCTTCCAAACATGCAATTCACAAAGAGAGGCTTCCATTTTTCCAGTTTAGTTAATTCATATGGTGATGAGTTTTTCCAAAATCTTCTCCTTGGTATAGCAATATACTAATATTGTATACTTATAGATATAGTACATGCTTTATATAGTCCATGCATTTTTTTAAAAAAGAGGATATATGCCTTTTTATTGCAACTAGGAAGATTATAGTACAACTAAAACTTTCGATATTTTTTTTATAATTCAGAAGTTCAACGGATCTTTGATCCAACTACATCTTATAAATATCTCTCTCCAAGACTCGAATATGGATTATAACGGAGCAAAGCCACCCAATTTTGGGTGAAACTTTCTATGTCCATTTCTCTTTTTTATAGAGTAAACAATGTAGAACCTAAGAAATATTTCTTTTCTGATAAAATCTTATATTGTGTTTTGATGGAAATCAAATTTTGCAGTCAAATTTTTTTTTATCTTTTCGGATGAATAATATTGTAACGAAATAAAAAACAATTATTATTATTTTTTTTAAAGAAAAGATCAATGTGGGCTGAAACATCAACAAGCAGGTGACTCTTTGTTTGGTGTTTCCTCCTTGTTTTTTTTTTCGTTTAAATATTTGAAGAAGTGGGTTTCTTCTCACGTCTGATCATTATTTGATATTTAATACATAAACTGTATTTTGTACAAATTAACTACTTGATCATTTGGACGTTCACATAAGAATTGTACTAAAATCTGTGGGGAAAAAAATATTATATATTGAAAATGTATTCGTTGCTTTCTGTCACGTAAGGAATATGGAATTGAAAGATATAAAAGTCAAACAAAAAAGATGCATTTAAGAAAATTCCCGTTGGAAATAGAAAATATTCTTCCATATCACTAAATGATTCCTTTCTTTTATTGCATTCCAAGTTTGCTTGGTGGATGAATATAGAGTGAACTATAATATAAAAATTATTGATCGTATTTATATACATTTGTAACATCACGTAATTCACAATATTTGTAACAATAATATTTGATCCGATGATTTCCTGAAAACTTTCATGGACCTAGGTAATGTTTAGGTTTAGGATTTGGGTTTGATACTTTTTTTTGGGGGGGGGGGG